TGCCGCACCTCCTCCGCTGGTGGCCGCAGCCGCCGTCCCCACACCGCCCACGCATGCCAGGACAACGCCGCTGGCGCTCGGGCCCGGCGAGGCGCGCGAGTATTCGCCAGCGCGGAACCCGCCCGAGGTGGAGGCGCGGTAGTCCCGGCAGCGCGTGCCCCGCGTGGACACTGAATTCCTGGGACCTGAGCACAGTTCCCAGGGCCAGGGGCAGCCCGGCCCGCGCTGCCCTACAGCCTGTGGAGTTGGGGACTTTACGCTTTTCTGGGGGTGACTTTTTTTTCGGAGCTTGTAATTAGGCCACTGGGAAAAATTCAGCTTTGTACCTTTTAGCCCCCACAGGTGAGAAGCATTTTTAATGGTTTTGTATTTTTCTTAATTTCGTGCTTTTCTGACATTTTAAAGAACCAAAAAGATAATTTTTAGTTGGGATTTGCAGTTTCATGGTCTCAGATCCCTTTTGAACCCCAGGGTTTGTCTTATTTATAGAAAGAAACGGTCTTTCTCTCCAGTGCACTGTGAGGCTCCGCACTCAGGCCCGGCCCTGGCCCTCCCTTGGTACTTGGAACCGAAGTTACAGATATATATTAAAATAATAATAATTATAAAACTTTGGGGTTTTGCCTTATTCTATTATGCATAAGTGTAAGAAGATTTCTTTGGTTTGTTTTTTAGAAAGAAACATGTAAATATTCTGTTAATATAATTATAAGACTTATTAAATTCTTAACCTGGACAGTCTGTAACAAGTTTCCAGAAACCCCTCTGGTTATTTGTGTAATGTGGTCACAAAAACCCACTTACTCGCTGTCAGTTATAAACACACACAGTTTAACTGCAGCAACTATCCTTGAACTATGCAAGCCTTGAGGGCAGGACAGGCTATCTGGAGGAAAAGGCACCTGAGCATCTGACAGGGCAGTTGTTCTCCTGGAGAGCCACAGTTCTGAGCATCTATCTGCTCAGGTTCACGGTGGGCTTCGGGTCTGGTTGGGTCTAGCCACAGAAACAAACCTGCACCCCTGTAGTAATCTTAGTGCAGTCTTTGAATCTGTAAGCTAGACAGAATCTTAGAAGTTCAAGAGTCTAAAAGGTTGGTTACAAGAAAAAGATAACATTTTTTTCTCCCACCCAGGAGCATCTGAGTGTTGCCCCTCTAGAAGCCTTGGCTTTGGTTTTTGCTTTCATGCCCTTTCAAGTGTCTCATGTGCTGTCAGCTTGTCCTTTTTGGTTTCCTCTGTACCACTTTTGTCTGCTGGGCTTCTGAGCCTGTTGATTGAGCGTCACCGTCTGCTTTGTTCAGCTTTGTGTTTCCATTGTGGACTCTGGTTATTTTAAACGTTTGGCTTTCATGTGAATCAGCAGAGATAAATACAGCCTTGATTTAGATGAAATGTGGTCCAGTGTCTTGTGTGGCTCTGAGGCAGGTAGCTGCTCTGCTGGTGCCTCACCACCTGCATCACTCCCTGGGGCCTGGGGCTTTGGGCTTCAAGGTCCCTCGAGGCCACCCTGGGGCAGTGTGTATCTGGCATCTACCCTTACTACAGTAGGTACAGAACAACAGGGTGCAGAAGCTCTGGGGTTTCTGCCTTACTCTGTTATGTATAAGTGTAAG